TATCAAATTGATTGTAGTTTTCATAATGATAATGGATGAAGTCTTCGAAACATCACCAGATAAGTATACGAATAGAATAGGTCTCCGCGGTTAGACACTTGAACATCTGAGATTCGGGTTGAACCGCGCTCAACGTTTTGCATTTTTCGACGTTTCAGCTAAGCCTGTACTGAGAGACATACTTTAGGGTATTGATGTTCTGATCCTGTCAAACCTTCGTGACGGTATGACTCTCATTGACCCCTGTTTCATCCAAATAGAAAATAGATTTACCCAGTGTTCTGGCTTTCTCTATTTCCCTTAAATAGTTTCTTTTCCATTTTACAATCGCTGATTTTTCTATTAACATACTCTTTCTATCTTGTTTTTCAAAAGTGAAGTTCAGCTTTTGTAATATCTTCCATAATCTAATCTTCTTAAATCAGGAAAAAACTGTCTTCACGAATAACTGACCTACTTTATTCAATGTAGATATTTCGTTTTTTATGAAAAAATGGTGCAATGTTCTCCTAATAGGGTTCTTGACTTCTAACTTGATAACCAAATACTTTCTGTCAGTGCTACTTTCGGCTCCAAAAAGCTGTTGTTTTCGTTGAGTTCCTTAAGAATTCTAAAAATTGTCGATCTATTAACACCGGTGATACGCGCGCAATTTTGCACTACTTCTTCCTTGCATTTTATTTTGGGCGGATATTGTATTCTTGAAGAATTATAAACATTCATAACAATTATTTTATAATTTATACTTAATGCTGACAACTAGCTTCCATATTGTATAGCTTTTTATTCAATGCGCTCTCGAAGTAAACTGAAGAATATCACTAAGACTTAACCCCTCTACCATTGCCTTTAAACTCCCAACAGAAAATAATATAGTATTTTCTTCCTATGGAAAACGCTAAGTCGGCCCTATTGATGGGACAGTGTGTCTGTTGACGATATAATTCAAAGGAATACCTGTTTATACCGCCTTCAAAAAAACCAATGTTTTTAATCCCCTTCAACTAAATATTTATTTGTTGGAGAATGTCTTGGTTACTACTGGACATATTTTCATATTTGTCGTGTTACTTTGTATATTCATTTATTCTATTCGTTGGTAGTAAATGATTTGCATGCCAGTACGCCTATGGCACTAATATATATATAGGTATGCTGCTGTAGTTTCATTTTTGGACAGGCTACAGCTGAGTCGTCGACAATTTAGGTGATTTTAAGACCTTTGTCAGTCTACATGATTATTGAAAAGTTTCAATTCCCTTATACTACAAAAATTGTTCCCACAACAAAGTTAATTTGATATCCTAATTATGAATTTTAATGTCAAATTTCGAATGACTCTGTCTAATGTTCCGCATGCCGGAATAAAATATGTTGTACAGAATAGTTAATGAAGTACAGACGAATCAAATGAAATTGACCAAAAATGGTAGCTTAGGGCTTCCACTATCTGCGAACTTGAACAAACGAATAGGATAATCGGTAGAAAATTCCGATGAAAAAATGTTACTGATAAAAGAGTTTGAAAGGAATGCATATCCAGATTCTTTTGTAGATTATACAGTGAATACAACGGAAAATAAAGCCATTTAACAAGCCAATGGCTCCACAAACCGAAACACCAATGCAATAACCACCGTTTCAAAAATCACCAATTCAACAACCACCGACATACCTTCTATTCCAGGACTAGCTGAAAAGATCAAAGGAATTGGCAATATATGTTAAAATGTTATACAAAATAAAAAAAACACATACAACACCTAGGAATTCCAAGCTTTCAACACCTAGGAATTCCAAGCTTTTGTATGAATAAAAACAATGCATACTGCTGTAGATCATGCCCGAAAGAAAGTAACGCCGGCCGCCACTGGTAACCATAAACCAAACGTGACGTAGGTAAGAGTACCCAATGTTCCCTGCCGCTCAAGAAGCAGCGAGAGTCATGCTACCGATGTCGGTGAAACTTCGGCGAAAATTCTACGATGTTCGTTTACGATATTCAAACGCTGACTGCGAGGGTATCGAGACAGTCAAGTACACAGTCAAGTGGACGTTACAGGGCGGTACGCGAAGTGATCTAGTAAGGCGATATACATTAAAAAGTTTTATTAGTGAAACACCAAGGCCATTAAAAGTGCGCGAGAATGAATACACATATTACATCAGAAATAGGCAGTAAACAGAATCAAAACTGTTAGAACAAATTTATATTCTATGGTGACGAGAATGACTGCCAATGAACCATATGTTGAAAGGTATAACGCAAAGCATCAGCCTACATATCTGGAACAAATGTTGCAAATATCGAACAGCGATTTTGACATATCATTTTTCAAATCTCCTTTAACATCTGTCGAGGAAGTTTGAAAATACTAAAAGTTTTGATGAATTTCAGAAGGAAAATATACATATTGAATTTTTTAATTCTGAGGAAAGAGGCAAATTTTGGCCTACGAAACAGGAGGATAATAAGGGTCAATTGAACTTGTGGGTTCTAATTTTTTGTGAAAATAGATAAAATCAACAAAGACGAAAATATGAAAGTATGAAGAATTTTCAGAACTAGAAGTTTGCCCTTTCTACACCAGTAGATATAAAGTAATCTACTTCAATTCAAATTTTTTTCAGATTGTGGAAAGGCAATTGGATTTTCTGCACTTTTTTCAATGTTTCAAAATATTCGAAATTCGATAAGAGTTTCCGTATTATAACTATATTACACATTCGCCATATAAATTCAAATTCATTGTAAAGCGACCGATCTATCGTACATAAAACTTTAGTCGAAACTGTACTTTCCCATCCCAGTACATAACTGCAAAACAGAAACACCACCGTAACAGGTTGCGACTATTGATTTCTTGTTGTTGGGCTGTATGATGCTGGTTAGTAATTCGAAACATAATTACTAGTTTTCTATTGCTCGGTAATCTTAATTCTTCGCCAACATCATAGGACGGACATCGTGCTTGTACAGTTAATTTAATAACGTGAAAGTCACTAAAAACACAACCGGCGAATGGTAATCGACCTGCCTCGATAGAAAGGTAGGTCGTGGATCAGTTCACAATAATTTTTCATGACGGTTACTGGTTACCACATCATTTCAAAACAATGAAGAAATTCGGTTGAAGTATGTGACATCTGTAAAGTTTCTACATTCGGGGAAATAAAACCGTAAACGTAATCGACACCAGTTAGTTGCCTCTTTGTCGACTAGTAGTATACATTTTTTGAGTGAATATGGATACGTCTATTTCAATATAATGTGGTAATTCATTTCAAGTTTTGTTGCAAATCTCAAACGAATCCGGAAAAGAGTGAGCCTCTTACGAAGTTCAAGTGTTATAACCGTTTCTAAAATATTTCGTTTGAAGCAAAATGGTTTGAGAATCCCATATATTCTATAAGAAAATCTCAAATTTGATGCACCTGAGTAGAGTGTCCATCCTCAGGCCCAGATTTTTATATTCTTCCACGATGGGTATTCCCATACCAAGCTGTTCTTACATGTTGAATAGAGAATTCACAATGAATTTCCGGTTGGGTTATGATTATAAAAAAGTTTTGAGATTGTAAGCCATGGAAATATCTAGAAGTGATTCAAGATCGGAAATCATTTTAGTGAATTAAAAGTGATCTGCTCAAATATTTGCATGATGAACGACCACAAGGTACACTAAGTACCTGGACTGGGCTGTTGTTTAGATATATACTGAAGCGGCAATGCCCTGACATGGTATTTTGTGATACAGCGTCTTAAATGTTCTAAAATAATTCTGCTGATTTCAATTTCCCCAAATAACTTTCCAGCGACACCAGACATAGTCCTTGTATTCCTATTTTGCCTAATTATTTGAAAAGTTTTTCACGACTTATTGCTTCAAAACATATTTGTGAAATGGGTTTCTTTTTGAAAAAAGAAAGTATCTATATATCCTTAAGTACATAACAAAATATTAGCTTTGTCAAAATGACGTATTTGGCCTGCCGGGTCTGAAACCTTGAAATAAACAGCCTCTTTTATAATTTACTTTCTCCAAAGTAGCGAAAGAATTTCCAGGAAATTCACAATAATTTTCGGGAAACTTCAAGTTCACGCGACTTTTTATGAACCACCTTTGCACTATATGAAAATATATGTTCAGAAGCCAAACGACATAAATATGAGGACCTTTTTAAACGAAGCCCATTCCTGTTGCTCAGTTCTTACTTAGTATGTGAAAAATGTGTTGAGAAGAGTGTTGAAGTTCCGGTGTCAGCGACAAATATTTTTGTTGAATACAACAAAAAACTGCACAACTGTTGGAATATAATGCGATAAAAACACCATCAGATACCTGAACGACAGAATTAATCAATACGTCGCAAGGCCACCTCGCGACTTGCACATTCAAACTTCCTCAGACAAGAAATAATTCAACACGCGACTAGTGAATTAAGCTTTTTAACCAACGAAAACAACAGATCACCATGAAAAAAATGCGTCCACGTATACAAAAAACATGACTTCCTAAACGAATCGAAATAGGTCATTAAATACTGAACGCTTCAACGTTCACTTCCATAGGTACGCAAAACAGATTGGCGCGCACGAAAGTTGGCAGAAATGCTCCCAAGGCCTCTAAGGACGAGCCGCCGAGCAAAAACAGAAGACAAGCGAACCCGTAAGAGAGAGAGTGAAACGATTGTAAACGATCAAGCTCAGTCGACGAGATATCGCTTCCACTTGTCTCGGGGTTACCCCGCAACGTTGCCAACACCGCAATCACCCATAGATTCACCGCAATATTTACAACAGCAGTTGTTGAAACATCTCTCCAATCCAATACAGCGAGCCAGCAACAAGTTTAAATAATTAAACACAGTAACGTAAAATGACGAGTTAAAAAAGACAGTTTTTACACCATCACGCTAATAACTCCATTCACGATCTACACCAGAAGTAAATCCTTCGAAAAACACATAAACATGCCATGCTCAAAACGTAATCCTACCTATCGTGAGTCATCAAGTTCACGAGGAAAGCCCTCCGACGTGGCAACGCCGCCGACCGACCGGCTGTTTTGTGTTGTCGTATGCCGTAATAGTTCGTCCGCCCGCCTCTTTTAATACCGTAGCCGTACACAGCGCGGCAAGTTCAACGTTCTGCTCGCTATGTGGCTGCTTGAATCGTTCTTCGGAACAGTCCTTCACAACGCGGCAACACACACAAGTGGCCCGATTTTAACTCTCTCGGCATCGCGGGCGCTCGGTGAATAAAAAAAAGATCGACGATCGAGTGTCCCACGCAATCAGCGCGCGTTGCTCGCTTACATGCTAGTTTACGTTTCGGTTCGGATCGACTGGGACAACAAACAATTAACATAATCGCCGTCATGCGGGGGAGCCGCAGCGCGAGGGAGGGGTAATGTGTGTTAAATGTGTGTTCGGGCTGACACTCCGATCGAGATATACTGCTGCTGTATGAATTGCTTTTTATCTAGGAATGAATAAATGAAGGCTCGTAGCGCTTAATTCACAGATAGGAGTGTGAGTTCACGATTGATATTTCTGCGCCATTACGCATAGGTGGCATGAGGGTCACGCAAGAAAATATATGGGTTCGAAGGACAGAGCACAAAAATGAGTTTTTAGTATTTACTTCTTAGGCTGGAAATTTTTTTTTCAACGATGTTCACAACAGAAAAAATCAAATGTTTTATATCCCTAGATTAAAGAAGTGGATGATGTAAATGTGCCACCACAGCAATAACCATGGTAATAGTTTGGCGAATAGTCCATTTAGCCATATTTAGCAGAACACTGAATATTTTTTAGCGAAAAGTAACCAATAACTTTCCTATTCAGGTATATAACTTTTTAGCCGAGTTATATTACCCTTTTACCTAGATATACTGTAGTTGTCGGACCATATCAAGACGGTCAGTATTGCCAGGTCAATTCATGCCCAACACTAGATTTTGTGTCAAAAAACTAAAGATTTTTACAAAAAACAGCGGAAACTGTATTTTATAGATACATACTACATACATGGTGATCTCCACCATTTACAGTCATCATGTTGCTCGAGAGCCACTACAATATTCATGGGGCTTCTCTCGTGCAATTTTCTCTTCACCCACAGTGGATTATTTCGCAAAAAGCTAATGGCATCACGGTGTTGTTATGAAAAATTTTACACTGTAATGGATGTTGCTATCTTTGCTTCTATTGTGACATAACAATCATTCATGCACGCACAATAGTTAGGTATTCTGTTACTCCAAGCAGAGACAAATCCAACAAATCAAACATCACGAAATCAAGTCCAGGCGTTCTAAAGCTAATCAATCTGGGAATTTAAAACGTCCAGTTATGGACAACGTGAAATTGACATAATAAAATGATTAGAGGTATTTTTTGGCTCAATTGGCGGAGTAAGAAAAAGTTCCAGCCATAAAAACTGTATGATTAAAGTTTCAATTATCACCGATAGTCTTGAAGATATATGTATCAGAAAAGTCGAGAATGTATTCGTTTTTTATTGGCCCAATTTTCTTGGTAGGCTAGAAGTTTGCCAACTCTAATAGTCCTTGCCTTGTTTAATTCAATACTCTTAGATGTCGGAGTACATTTATTAAGAACACTGTTATTCGAAGACCACCATGATCATTCAGAGAAATATGCAGAGGACTGACTCTAATAGTTCCTGTCTTGTTTCATTCGTTCGTACACATCGGAGTGCATTTTTCAAAACGCTGTTATTCAATGGACATTATCATGAAGTAATAAAATGATTAACCTTCACGAAAGGTTCCTGCATAAAAATATCTTCATTATTCCATTTTCTTAGTCCGTTATAGGCGAATTGCTTAGGCACAAGGTTGAAAACAAAACTATTGCCATTTTCTCCGACAGCCAGGCGGCAATTGGGGCTCTCAGCTTCTACCAAGTCTTTTTGAGACTTGTAGGGAGCTATCTTAGAGCACTCAATGAGCTAGGTTCCCACAATAGGCTTACCCTAGTCTGGATACCCGGACAAGATGAACACAAGGTCCAGAACCCTTTTGTGGGCTGGAGAAGACAAGTATATAAACATATATCAATTCGTGGATGCAAGCCAAATCGCTAAATTGGTAGAACAAGCTGCTGGAAATGAGGCAGGCGAAAAAGTTCATAGAGGAACCCTCATCCAAATTCATGGAGGACCTGCTAAAGTTGTAAGGGTAGTGGTATTAGCCAAAATCAAGGCTTTTGTCTCTCATTAAAGATATCAAGCTAGATAAGGAGCTCTCAATATTAGGGCTCTGGTCTCTCATTAAAGATATCAAAGCTAATCAAGCTAGATGAAGAGCTCCGAGAAGCTCACAATCGATCTGCAAAGGTCGCAGTGAAACAGACGGCAGATGACAGCTTCCCTATGAATCTAATTTAAACCGTTTTATATGTCGCAGACCCAGGACAGAGAAATCAACCTGCCTAGAAACCTATGCGACTCTATTTACGCTTTTGAATTGTGTGCAGAGAGATTGGAATAATCCAACCTCATACATAAGTCTTTAAAGGTAGCAAATTGCCAAAAACGACTCTTCTCGATAGGAAGGTTCAACAGATTTCTCTGGTCTGGATTCCTGGCTTCATCGGACCAGAACCTGTCATTGGCATCGCTCTAGGCGTTTCCAAACAAATATTGAACACCTGGATGGCAAGAGGATCTATGGACTTCTGACAGAATCTTCCAGGATTGGCTCACTCTAAGGCGTTTATTCACCCTTCGAAGCTTGATACCAAACAGTTGTTGGACTACAGTAGAGATGAACTACGATGTCTAACAGACCTTCTTACAGGTCACTGTCATTTGAATCATCATATGCAGAGACGCGGACTGTCGGAAGACACTGTGTGTCGCCTCTGTTTGGAAAATGATGAAACAGCAGAGCACATACTTTGTGCCTGTCCCTCTGGGGTCCGAATAAGGTTTTTAAAGTTTGGCAGACCCGTACTCTTACCATCTGACCTGAAATACTACTCAGCATACAAACTAATCGACTTCGTTAAGAAGCTGGGTTTATTCGGTCGTGTGTGAATCGGTGTGAGCCACAATAAACCCTTAATTCTATAAAAATGTCTATAATTATTATCATGGATAGTGTTATTGATTTTCATTAATTAACGGGTCAAAGTATACATAATTATAATTTTGGTCTAATGGAACTGAACATGTAATTTACAAACCACTGATGACGTCTGCCACAGTAACTGACGAAACCTCTCATATAACTGTAGATAAATTCATTATGCACAAGAAGAAATTGTCTATATCATTTCAAAGTTTCCTGTACAACAAAAAAGTATGACTTTTTTCCTTGCTCCAAGATCATTTATCTCCCACACCTTCGAATATGTGAGTTTGTTCGGTTTCTTTTCTTCACTTAGTTTTGAGCCAAAATATGATTCAAAAGCTTGTACTCTGGATAGCCCACTATTGATGAACGATGAGAAGAAATAACAAAAACGTTTGGTTAAGTTGAATTAGTTAGTCGACAAAATGTCATTTCTATATAAAGCAAATGAACTTCAAACGTTCAAGCCAGTCTCTATATACCTACACAGTAGGTTTAATGTACTGACGCCTATCAGAAAACAACTTCCCTGGCTAATACCACGTAGGGCGTTGGATTATATCCGACAGACGTCAGTGCAGGAATCTTCATAGAAAATTTCCTGCATATGCAATTGGCAATACAACTGAAAGAGTCGATCTTCAATTATGGAACGAGCACACTTGCAGACCGGTTTCGGGCTTATTAGCCACTCATCATAGCCCACTGACTAATAAGAAAATGTCATTTGATGAATTTGATAAATGTGTGGTAACTAAAAAACAGTACTGTGGTTCTGTATTGACAGCTCTTTTTGTTAATGAAAAATTTATCTTGGAAATAATCAAGTTCACTTTGTTGTCAAAACTTTAGACCTATGTATTGTTTGTGAAAGTATCGTCTACTAACTAGCATAATCAATCATAAAAACATTCTCAAACGACAACAGATAATCTATCTAGTATAGTTCAAGTAAACTATATAATCCAACCTACCTTCCAACAGCTGCCCTTTAATAATATAGTTAGGGAGCTAACTAATTTCGTCATTAAAAAATTATTTATGATTATATAAGAATCACAATAACTATATAATATATTCTTTGGTTCACTAACACTGTCGTCATTTGAATCATAATGAATTTATTTCCACCATTAATATCGAAGTGTCCAATCTCCAGATAGCCCTTTTCAACTAAAATTACTTTTTTAATCCTTTATATCCTTTAGACGCGATCCTTTGTTTGCAGGCATGTTAGGCGTTCCCATTCTCGAACCATCAGTCCACCCTTTCGTAAATATGTCGTGAGTGTCATACCAAGTTTCGTTCAAATAGAAAATTTGTCGTTGTTCTTGTCTATATTTAGTTATTTGTTCTAAGTATTTGTTGCGCAATTCCACTATTCTTCTGCTTTCCATAACTGCTTGACGTTTGTTTATTATTTTAAATCTAAATCCTAGTTTCTTCATCCAATTCTGAAGAGTTTAATCACACCAGCCAAGGATGTCCCATTTTGAACAGATAACAAAAATTTCAAGTAATTATAACTGCACCAATATCGAATTTCAACACTCAAATCGCGAACACTTCCTGAACTGAACACAGCTGCGATAACTATCCACGCTATCAATTTAATTTTATGACTCTTCAGCACAAAACTCCGTTAGTAAAAATTATCCAATACGAACCGCTAATCCTACAGTCCACGTTGACTAGTTCCTGGCCGGTTCATTTCTATGTATTGGTTTTTTTGGCCTTTGAGAGTGCCGACAACTTTAAGTATGCGCATTATCGTTTACTTCGACTATACCTAATGTTTTAAGAGATCAGTGGAATCCTTACATGTTGCCTTGTTTTTTTAATTGATGCAGAAATACTCATAGTTTTCAACATGTTCAAGGTAATCTTGCAATAATAAATGAAATGAAAATCGAATTAAGAAGACTGTAGAGTCGAACTGAAGGGAAAATAAATAAGAAAAGATAAAGGCTTAAATGATACAAAAAAAATATTTTTTGAAATAAACATTAGTGAATAAGGCGATACTGATTTATATAAACGAATTATTTGTCGTTATCAGGGCTGGATTTAGGGGAGGACAGGCGGAGCTACTGCCTTGGAGCCTCCACAGGAGAGGGGCACCCACAAAAGAAATATCCAACAGCAATTCTTACATTGTTTCTCCCATTTTTGCATTTTCACTAAGAATACTTGCACAAACAT